GTGGGTGGTATTTCTAGGAACTTAAGTCTAATGGCTATATAACCAAAATTAGTACATTTTTATTAAGCTTAAGTCAAAAAAATGAAACACAATCTTTTCAAGCTGTTTTGTTCAAACTTTACATTGTTCGTGTATTATTTCAAAGATCCTTATGTCTTCAGTGTTCGATTTATTAACATAAAAACAATTAAAACAGATAAAAACAATTAAAACACAAGGCATAAGACATATAAAACACATAAGACATATAACACATCAGACATATACAATGCATGCGACCTATAAGACACATATGCCATATAAAACCAATAAAACATATAAAACACACTAGACTTATTAAACACATAAAAACATATCGCCAGTGACAATTAACAAAAATACTTTAATGCCATTCTTATCACTGAGTCTTTACAAGTCAATGGTTCCGCTGCCCCCCACCCCTCATAAGAATAAAATAATGGAAAAAAATTAATAAAAGCAACAACAAATCTAACAACGAATTGTTGACGTCATTGCGCTTCAGATGATCCAACCAAATGCTTAAAATATTAAATAAATTATTGGAAAATGAAAGAACAATAAAAGAAACAAGTTATATTCACTTGCGTATTTAAGACCGGTCTGACGTTATTTGACTCATGAGCGTAATCGTTGTTGAAAGCTCTTTCAGGCCTTAGGATCGCTGGGATGCTAGATGGTTGGGATGGTATATCGATGGGATGGTTGATCAATGAAATTTAAATGATTTGGATGGCAGATCATAGGCCTGACAGTTCATGTAGTGTTAGACCTTTTGGGGTGGTAATAAGTGGGATGTTAGATCCATATGAAAGCAGAAGAATAGGATGGCAGATGTATCGTTTGCCAGGTAAATTCCAGGTAAAGGAGGTGGTAAATTATGTGGATGGTAGATCAAAGAGTTGCCAGATGATTGGTATGAGACGTAAATGAGAAGGTAGATCTTTAGTGATGGCATGTCAATGGGATGGTAGATCTTTGGTGATGGCAAGTCATTGGGTTGGTAGATCTTTGGTGATGGCAAATCAATGGGATGGGAGATCTTTGATGATCCCAAGTCAATAGGATGGCAAATAATTCATCTAGCAAACTTTTGGGGATGTAACCCCTAAAAGCAAAAAAAAAAAATTCTTATCACCTACCTTCGTACCTATTTACCTACCTATCTACCAAATACATACATACCTACCCTCCTATTTATCTACCTACATACATACCTGCATACCTATATACATGCCTAACTACCGACCTAAATACACACCTACCTACCTAACTACCGTCCTACATACATAACTACCCTCCCACCTACCAATCTACCTTTCTATCTACCTTCCTACCTTCTTACCGACCTAAAACCCTCCAACATACCTACCTTTCTACCTATCCATCCAACCACCTACCTACTTATATACCTACCTACTAATATACCTACCTACCTACTAACTAACCCTACTACCTATGGCTCCAAATAGTTTTGATTGTGCAGAACGGATTCATCTTTATGTAGATCTAAATGTCAATCATTATTTGCCCCCTCATTACCTCAATCTGATATTTTATGTAAATCAAACGGGATTCTGAACTTTATTGTGTTAGTGGCAGTCAGTCTTAATCTTGATTATGGAACCATGGAAATGTGAGTATTTGAGAGAAAAAAAACAGCCTCTAACAATGTAAAACGGGACCATGGTTGGTCACAGAGTTGGCTGAGTGTTAGTATGATACTTTCAGGGAATTTTCCTGGCCACCTGAAAGGTAATGTTTCTGGCCATCTGAAGGCGATGTCTCTGGCAATATGAAGGCGATGTCTCTGGCCATCTGAAGGCGATGTCTCTGGCCATCTGAAGGAGATGTTTCTGGCCATCTGAAGGCGATGGTTCCGGCCATCTGTAGGTGGTGTCTCTGGCCATCTGAAAGTGATATTTCTGGCCATCTAAAGGAGATGTTTCTGGTCATCTGAAGACAATGTTTTTGGCCATCTGAAGTTGATAACCTGTCTTGCTGAAGGTGATTTCTTAGTTATTTGAATATGTCAAGGCTTTCTGATGAATTTTGTGGACTCCTATATTTAATACAATTCTGTTATTTTAAGGCGACCAATGTGGACATAATCTCTTGTTTAAAAATATATATGTCCTACGAGATGCTACGTTGAACTGGGTGAAAAGTATTGAACCAATCTATTTAGCCCCATTCTTAGCGTCTAAAACCAACACATTGGAAGACTAAAGAAGGCTATTTATACACAGACATAACATTTAATGTAAAATTTCCAACATGCATAAGAGCGTTCTTAAGATCTGGTGTATCGTGTAAAGTATCATTGCTTATCATCCCATCGAGAGATCCAGTTTTTTGCAAGGTTAAGTGGAGGTGCCACACGAGGAGACAGCTGTGGTCGAGTGGACAGCTATCGTCAAAGGCGTAACCATCTCTATTTATTAAGGTCCCATATAAGAAGACATCATAAAGACATTTAATTAATTTTTTTCCAAAAAAATTTAAGGTGAAGACTTCGTAGAGCAACTTTATTACAATAATTAACCCCCTTACAGATCTTTACATTTTATTCTCATCACAGATGAAGCACAACTTGAATCTATTTTTCCATTCAAATACTTCGCAGTACAAAGTTAATATTGTCCGATATTTGTCTGTTTGGTTGTAGCAGTAATTAGTTGAAATGTTTTATTGGTTTTCTGGACGATTTATCGATTGCGAGATCTTTGGATTGTGATTTTAGAGTTTCAAGAGATCTTTGGATTGTGATTTTAAGAGTTTCAATAAATTTTTGGATGTGATTTTAGAGTTTCAAGAGATCTTTGGGTTGTTATTTTAGAGTTTCAAGAGATCTTTGGATTGTGATTTCATAGTTTCTAAAGATGTTTGGATTATGTTTTTAGAGTTTCAAGAGACCTTTGGATTGTGATTTCAGAGTTTCAAGAGATCTTTGTTAGTGATTTCAGAGTTTGAAGAAATCTTTGGTTTGTGATTTCGGAATTTCAACTGTGGTCTCCGGCACTCCAAAACCCCACCACTAAAGTACAGACGATACTCCACCGCTGGATTCTCAACAGCCCTTCCCCCTTAAAAAAACTAGTGTCAAATGTTCAGTACAAAACCCTGATATTAGATGATCAGACCGCAGCTCCCTATGGTATCACTAAAACAAAACTCCAAGTATACCTTATGTGTTTTATATGTCTTATGCGTTGTGTTTTAATTTTTTTATCTGTTTTAATTGTTTTTATGAGCTGTATGCGTTTTTATACTTTTTAGCCATTTTAAAAATAAGTTGACATTGTAAATTATAGTAACTGTTTTTTTCCACATCTTATCAATAATACAACATGATTAATTAAAGAAACGAATGCAAATGGATATTTAAAAAATTCAGAAGAAGAATAATCCATAGGAAATATTTCTTTTTAATATTAAAAAAAAAAAGATAGTTTGTGTCTTATTTATGAATTTTAAAAAAATGAATGAAGTTAAGGTCCGATGGTATTTGCATTTAGTGCATGGTGTTAAAACACCAGTGTTACATTGTGTAACAAACACATTCGTGAATATAAAAGGTCTTCAATCCTTCGCATGCGAAGATGACCAAGGCTGCATTCAACGGTGACTATTCTGGTGGCTTACCAGTCCTATTTGTGCCTGGAAATCTTTCCCGCACGTAAGACACATAATTTTTACAATAAAATGAAGTCTGAAAAGACTCATTATAACGACATCAAAACTGCTAACTTTATAATTCTACGACTATTGTGGCGACTCAATGTCATGTGAACAAGACACAAGACAAGAGTAAAAGATCAGGATGCGTCTACTTCACATATGAAGACTGAAAGTTCATTACAAAGTAAATAAAATACAATATTTGAATATCTATAAGTTTTAATAGTTATAGATTTATATATAATTTATATATCAATCTGGTTTAGATACGTTTGAAAGGCTCGGTGAATCAAATTAAGATATAAAGGTTATTTAAAAAATAGAAAGGTATACTTTTTTTACGAAATATACGAGGAAATATGTAAATATTTTTATTATGTTGTATCCAGAATTGCAATTAAAAATTGGAGATAGGGAGGGTGCTTTAAACTACATACTACTCTGGTAGCTCACAGACAAATCTAGGCCAAAAATTATAGGCAGTTTCCAGGTTGTAGCACGAGTAGACGTCCATGTCCCAGTTGTAATGCGAGTTCAGGTAAGCACAATTTACACCACTGGATCCAATGGGCTGGCCAAGCCCCCATTTAGTAAACGGCATTGGTTGGTTCGTGCGCTGGATGACCCAGGTGCCGTTAGGACTGTCGTTCGTGCCTGCAATGAGGGTCATCTGGAAGTCGGAGGAGTTGACGAAACTCTGGACGAACAGGAACTCGTCCACGTCGTCAATCTCGGCCAGGTAGCCGCCAAAGAACACGCACGTGGCTGCCGCCACAGGGGCGGTTACCCTGTTGTCTTTGGTAGACAGAAGATATCGGTGTCCGTTGCGAACAGTGGACGATGTGAACATTAACTCCATCATGACATCCAGCTTGTTCTGCCAACATCCTGGATACGATTATAAATTTTGTTCAAAATAAGCGTCATAGGCGTCATAACAACTTATTCACAAAGAAATACTTTCGTACATGGAATGTAGGATCTCGGCAATGAGAACAATTCTAATTGTAAACAAACTTGTTTTCATTTAGCAAATTTTGTATAGTTTAGAGTCAAACTAAATTACAGTTTGGTGCCATCCGTAAATGACGTCAAACATCTAGAGGCGCGTGGGGTGTCCACAAATTGTGACGACCTTTTTAAGATAGGTCTCATTTTTCTTATATACTGGGAAAAGGAGGGAGTGAAAAAATGGGTGCGGGCGGGATACTGGCCAAAATAGTGTGACGTCGTTTATTATGGCCCTTGAGTCTTAAGGTAATTTGAATTGATCCTTTATAGCAACACATTTATGTATTTACTTATGTAGACATTATTTTTTATAATATCTTTATTATGTATGCTATGTGGTCATAATATTTATATTTGCCATAATTATTGATTCTTTCTTAATTTTCTATGATGTCTTAATTATGCTTATTATCATAATTAATTTAGGTTATCATAATTATTCATGTTGTCATAATTACTTATGTTGTCATAATTGTTTATGCTATTAAGATTATTTATGTTCCCATAATTATATAATGACACGTCCACAAGCCATCAATGTGCTATAATATTTTTTACAAAAATTATAATTATCTTTTTTTAAAAAAACATATTGATCCTCTTCATTAGCAATTACTAACTAAAGTGAAAGTTGAGGTTATTAGTTGCGAGCTAAAACAAAATAAAGAGGTGTAATCATAATTAAAATTATTCATCTAATTCTTACTTTAAAACGTACCAGAGATGCAACTGTTGTTCAGCGCCAACTCGATATCCGCTTTCATCTTACTGAGCTCTGCTTTCAACGCTTGAATTTCTGACTGTTTAACATTGACCTGGCTCGATGTGGACACATTGACCGGCTGACCCGTCACGTCCAGGCCGTTGGCCGTGCACTTGTAGACCCCCGTCTCCTGCAGTCCTGGACTGCTCCATCGTGCGCCGAGGAACGACTCGCCGTTGTTGTCGATGTTTCCGAAGACCGTTAGGTTACCGTGACCGAGGTTGACGACCTGCCCAGAAAACGAGTCGACGGATGCCAAATCGTTGAACTGTCCTCCACTGATCGTGGCCAAAGATAAAACCAATGAGACCAACGTAACGAAGTCCGAGCCTGCACCAAGCGACGTTGAACAGTTGATGTCCAGGGTCTGTGTAACTCCTTCCTCTATCTGCTGTGGTTGAATAATTAACTGAAGTCCTGAAAAAAAAGGTTTAATAGAGTTTTTTCATATATATATATATATATATATATATATATATATATATATTTATTATTTACATATATGTGTCTATAGCTATAAGACTTTTTTTAAAATTTAAACAAGTAAACAACACAAAAAAAAAAGATTTAATAGATTTTTTTTATATATATATATATATATATATATATATATATATATATATATAATTATTATTTACAAATATGTGTCTATAGCTATAAGACTTTTTTTAAAATTTAAACAAGTAAACAACACAACTCCTTTACTTGTCACAAAAGGGGGTAACATTGTATAGATAAACCGCAGATTATATATATTCGAAACTTAAAACTCATACTAGAGGTGTCAATGTTTACACTACTACTATCGTTATTTTAATTAACCATTGGCGTATCCAAAAGATTATTCTATTGAAGTTTTGTGAAATAGATTAGCTTAAATAATGAATTCTTTAATATTAATATTTTTTGCAAGGTTTTAAAAGCTGTATACATCATACCTGCATAGATTTAAATAGTTTTTGTAAGTTAAGGATTTTGGTGTACTAACCTTCAACATACTCAGAAACGAAAGCACGCAACTGTAAATATTGTAAAGGACCAGTGTTGAATACTGAATTACCTCCCTGTATTTAAAGTTTGACAATGTCTTATGATCAATGGAATGTTCTCTCCTCGGCTCACACTAACGAAGGGAGATAATGAGAAAAGAAGCTTAACAATAAAGTACGTCAAAAAGTTTAAAGACATAATGTTGTGTTTACCTGTTACGGCCCCAGTGAGGAATATAATAAAGGTGAAGAGTTGTCTCGCCATCTCTGTCTGTCGCATATATACTAATGAATTATTTAAACAGGATTTTAAGAAAACAAGAGCTGTATTACATTTAGACAAAAAAGAGGATACAACGGGCATAGGTGGAACTTTCGTGGGCCACTCTGAATTGTAAATGTATATGGATTAACGTGCATTTCCGGTCTGATCATAATGAAGTGAGTTGTGTTTATAATTAAAATGTTACAATCATTTCCAATATATGTACACTGATATTCTATCGTATTATTATGTTTTCTCACAAGACTGTTTTTAAAATAAAGTTTTTAGCTTATTATTTTTAATTTTAAATGAAGCTTTCCTTCTGTTCCTGCAAATGTCGTTATTTCCTTATTCAAAGCTGTGTCCCTCTCGCCACCAGGTGTCGCCTCTTGTCATCCCATCTTACTACAGTTTCCAAACAAACCGGCCAGGCCGAAGTTCCCTCTTGTCCCACACTACAACAGAGAAGTGGGGGGAATATGGATGAGATAACAGTTGAACAAAAAAATATGGGTCAAGTCCACTACTTAACTGGCTTAACTCCAGAGGTGTACCTGATACATTTATTTTCTACAGTCGTTTCGGTGTACAAGAGCCAACAGTGTACATTCCTTTTGCTTGCAACTTTAAATCTATTTCATTATAATGTGAGTCCACAATACTGCGTGGTGCTTTAAGAATTTTAAAAATTAACCTTAATATGCCGGATAAAATGAGTTCATGGTGCAATAGACTTTCCGGATCAAATAAGTTCACGGCACAATGGATTTTAG